CAGCCCGGCAGACACACAAATGAGCAGGTGACCTTTCAAACCGTGTCAACACGGGCCCTTGACCCAGAGACCTCAGAACTTCAGTGGTTTCACTGTCTAAATCAGCCAACTGAAAAGGCCTATGTTTGCACGATGTGATTGTGTTTACACAAAGATTTAACGCTTCAATAGCGCAAAAGCTGTTCAGTTAATTTTAATTATTGCTTTATTCTCTTCACAACAGATTTTTAAAAAAATGTTTAGCAGGGAGCTGTGGGTAATTGATCCCAGAAGCTTTGTGCCTGTGGTCCTCCTAGCCTGGGCACTGACACAGTGGGAAGGAAACAGAAAAAGGGTTTCCAGGAAAAGGCTGTTCTTTCCAGGCCTGCCTTTGCTTATTACACATTCCTTGTGCAGAAGACCGGCACCAAGGAAAACCTCAAAATAATTTCCAAGATTTGGCTGTGGAGGGGGATAAAGACACACAGGTGGGTTAGAAGGCATTCCAAATGTATAGTGGCCAATTTAAGCAAGCAAAAGGTGAATATCAAAAGGGGGTGGGGGTTTGGCCAATGATAATGATTGGTTACAGTTATCTCTTTGGCAGAGAGAATAAATAAAAGAGGAAAGTAAATTTGAAAATAAAATGGTATACCGGTGCACAGGATCAACCAAGAAAATTCTTCATAGGCAAAGAATTCTCCAAAAAGTAGAACCCTAGCAGTCATGTGAGTTTTGCCTCCACCTCCCAGGAATCTTGGTGTGAAGACCTTTGCTTCCTTCAGCTCTCTGGAAGACAAATGCAAGAATCTGTCCCTCAGAGTTCCCACCAATCCTTTTGGCAGGATGTTAGGATGCGCCCTTCTTCCTCCCTGTGTGTCTCATGAATACTGAGGAGTGCTCTGTATACAGAGTAGCAGAATCTTAACCTGAGTGTGGGATCTTCGTCCATTAGGGGATTTAAAATTCCTATACTGGCCAAGTATTCTTTTTTCCTTAAGACAATGAATGCATCCATAACTATCCTCCAATTGTGAGACCAAAAAATGACAGGACAAAACTGTCTTTAATTCCCCAAATGTCATCAAAATAAAATAAAATCACAGGAGTATTTGTTCTAACTCACATAGGAATGTTCTGGTATAATCGAGATAGGAATATACAACTTACACACCAAGGTCCATCCATTAATCGCTTCCTCCAACTTCTCCCATAAAATACCTCCCTTTGGGTTTTCCAGGTCAGTAATAAAAGCCCCTGCTAAGGGGTCAGGGAGAAGTTTCCATTTATTATTTCTCTCTACAAATTTTCTAAAATATGCAAATGTATGAGTGCGGAGATATGCATTTGCTTGCATCTTCAAAACCAGTTTTCTTTCCTAAAGTGGGAAAAAATAAGGAAGTTCAAAGATTCTTAAATTCAATCGAAATAGACACCCTATGGGATTAACTAAGACAATCATTCAGTTTTCTTACCTATTCTGAATTTGTTGTCATCTTGGACAAGATAACTCCATGCTACTTAGGCTATGTATGAAATAAGTGGGATAGCAAGTAGTAAGCCATTTATTTTGCTGAACCATATACATAATTTAATTCACTTTATTTTCATTTAGAGCCCCCAAAAGAAATAAGTGATTTCTAAAGGAAAAACAGAGGGGAAGAGGCCTTGTTCCAGTTCAGCAGAGAAATCTTTGAAAAATCATTTTCTAAGCTTCAGTTTCCTCATCTATAAAATGGGAATAATGACACTCTTGACCACACAGGTAGGTGAGGGGTAAGTGAAGTGAATGTATGTGAAAGCACTGGGTAAGCTGGAAAGCTCAATACACATGATATCATCATGGCTTACTTACTTGGCTAACCCATTGCCAGACTTAGTAGTACTCAACGGCCTTCTCAGTCCCAAAGTCAATCTGAGCAGGAACACCTCAGCCTCCCTGCCTCAGCCCTTGTGCTCTGGATGCTGAGGAAGCAGACACTACATCTGCAGCTCATCAAGACAAATATTACTAATTCCCTATGGTCTCCAACTAAGGTCCGATAACACTGTGATCCCAAACATGGCACTTACCATGACCCCAGGAGGCCAGCCCAGGAATCGAAGTCTCTCCAAGTGGCAAAGGATAAGCTAATCCGTGTGAAAGACACAGATGTCACATCCTCCCCATAGCCGCATTCACATGTATGAGAGGAATAATGTCAGCAGTATTATCTCCAAACAGCAAGGACAATGCCACACAATTATAATAAATATTGTCCATTGTATCTTGGGGATGACACGTCTGACAATGTTATTTTCTATGGATGTGGATGTAGCTGAAAGGGCCAATGCATAATTCACATTTCCTGACAAAATGCAGGCATCAAGCATGTGTCCATTCGAAGATGCCATTTAAATTATTTTACCTGAGATGGCACCGTTCTCTCTGAGAACTCAGTATGCCTCACAGGGCTCTCCTCATGGTGCTGGTGTGACCCGGCAGAGTGCAGGATAAGAAATGCCCTGAAGTAGCAGATACCACAGCCATGCAGTTTTCCCAATAAAACTATTTTCTGACTGAAAACACTCATTCTCAGTCTTATTTCTGTGCTAACAGTCAACCTTCTTTTTGCTACCAAGGAAACAATTGTTATAATTTACTAAGATTGTTGTACAGGAGAGCACAGGTAGAGAGATAGTTATTGCCCAGTGAGCTAGGCCCATTTCCTGGCTAGAAGCCTCCCTCCCACACACCAGCTTGGCAGCTCATGTGACTCAAACCCTTGCCTCAGCAAAATCTCCAATTTACAGATCAGGGGCCTTCAGCAAGAGGGGAGGGGGTCTCGCCTGTGAAGAGGCACAATCACCAACGTTAAATCTGGAGAGCTACATGCCCAGCAGAAGTGGAGAGATGTCCTTCCTCTAAGTTCTAATAGAAAAATAAATTATGAAATGTTTACATTTAGTGAATTTTTAAACGCTCATAAAAGGGAAAGCAAGAACCTGGCTGACTGAAAAGGATAAGGCAACATTTTGCAAGTGGTACAGAGGAACCCACAGAGAAGGAGCCGGGGTGGCATGAGCCAGATGTCTCAGCCCCAGCACCGCTGACATCTGGGGCTGAGTGATTCTTTGTTTTGGGGCTTGCCCTGTGCACTGTAGTATGAAGCATGTCTGCCCTCCACTCACCAGATGCCAGTTGCAACTACCTCCCCTCCCTACAAAAAAAAAATCTGACAACCAAAAATGTCTGCGGACATTGCTAAATGTCCCCCAAGGGACAGAATTAACCCAAGTTGAGAATCACTGCATTAGGCAACTCATGACCTCACATTTGTAGAGAAGTACTGGGCTAAAAGGTTTGCTCACACACATAATGGTCTCTTTGGCCATGGAGAGGAGGCCGCAGTGTCCCTTTGTACAGTCGTGTGACTTTCATGGTCCTGGTGGAAACACATTAGCCTCACAAGTCCTTGAAGTGTCAGGGAAGGCCCTCCGAAGAGCACCAGCGCCTGTGGGGAGCAGATGCCACTCAAGGTGCTGGCTGCAGGGCAGCAGCGGATGGGCTGGGGGGCTGAAGCCAGCTTTGCTCAAGCGCAGGCCTGCATCTACCCCATGAAAGGGGCACCTTTTCTTGATCTGCACAAAGGCAACATATAGGTCAGCAGCAGCCCTGCTGTGCCACTAGCATTCAGCAGATTCTTCTTTTTCAGGACTGTCAACTGATTTAACTCACAGAAGAGGCAATAGTTTTGCATGGCCATGAGAATTAGCAAAGCAGGTTTTCACAACTGAGGAGTATCAAAAGGGTGAAGAAGCCACATGGAATGTCTCCTTTCCTTAACCCCCCCAAACATGTCTGTGTTCCCTCTATTGCTTTAGACATAGAGACAGTCAAAGAAGAGAGACTTGTTCTCCCAGAAGAGCACAATGAGAAGAAGCTCTGACATGGCACTGGACTAAGCATGACTGCTTCAGCCTTCAAAGACCCCTGCTTGCATCTCGCCAGTCTTACCAGAGCTGGAATGCAGACACCTTAACCACACCCTGTGGCGGGTGAAGAGTGCTGGGTAAGACAACACTAGGACTGCACTGGACTTTTCTCTCCAGTAGACAAGGGACATGTGGACACTTGCTATTCTGGCAAACTGCCATCAATAAAGACTAAACACTCACACAGTCAGAACCACCATCTCCCAAAGTCAGGCTATAACACAAGTCTAGCGGTGAAGGAATAGTCTGTTTCTGATGACTTCTCATGATCAAATGTTTAGCCCTGCCATGGAGGAATACTTCTGAGGATGAATGGAGAGAGCAGAAGTAACATTACACCTGCTCTGTTGTTACCTCTGATAATCAGGTTTATTTTGCAGTCTGAGCAATCCCAATGTCAAGCTGCTGTCCTGTGATCTATGGAACACTGCCATGGTCTCTGCATCGCCCCAGCCCAGCTTGAGGCCCTGCACCTATTTTAAGGATACTTTAAGCATAAATGATTTCACAGAGTCTGATCTGATTTTACCATGGCAAGGCTTGTTGCTCAGAATGGAGCTTGCTTCCCCGGCTTCACTTTTGGTAGGCGATGCTAGACTTCATTAAGTTTGGGGAAGCAGGGCCAGCCATTAGCGTCAAAGAAGAGTCGCTGTTTCTAACTATTTCTGTGCACAGACACACAACATGCTGCGTTTTCTCAATAAAACAACTCCTTCCCAGGGGGAAGTGGGTGCTTCTTCAAGGGGCCCCAATTTACATGCACTTTCTCCACCATTTAAAGTGAAGCCACCTTGAAGCATCACTTTACTTCTGAAGAATCCCTCTCTACACTTCCAGCAAGAATTTTTAAATGAGGAAATGGAAACCTCTACTTAAACAGGAGATGACAGCTTATATGGAACATAATTACACACTTTTTCAAATCACAAGATTGATTTCAGGTTTATTTTGTAGCCACATTTGTTTGTTTGCCTTAAGGAAAGGAACTGCAGTATGCAAAAAAGGCGTTACTTTCATGTAAATGCAATGTACCCCCCCAAAAGTACCTGAGACACGTGCTGTGCACCTCAGAGGAATAAAACCATAATGGAAAATCATCGGGGTCTAGATGCTTCCCCTTCCTCCTTCCTAATGAATAAAACAGATGGAAAAATCCTGTACTTGTACATCTAGTTCATTTGATTTCTTACTTTATATTCTATACGGTATCTAAAAGAATGGCTACAAAAGAATTCAGTCCATTTAAGAGATAAAGTGGCAGTATCCTTAAAATGTTGCAAATGTTGCCTTGTTATTACATTAGTAATTTTAATGTTTGCACAAATTCTTTTGGCACCCTTATCAATTTTTGCCAGTTTTTTCCTTAAGAAGACTAAGACCATTATTTAAGGGATGTCCTCAAATGTATTTCTTTTAAACTATACTCATAAGGCATGCAGATAAAAGAAAGACTTCAAGATTCATTCTAATGTGTTTTCAACTTAAAGGATTTAGTTGAGAAAGCAGGATGAGGGGACGCAGGTGCCAGACATTGTGTAGAATTTGCACTTATGCGCCATTAATTGCCAGCATATCTTCCTTTCCCTTTTTCTCCCCTCCCCCCAATAAGTCCCTCTGGAAAACAGCAGAGCAGCAGGCCCAGACTGGTTCCCAGCAGCAACACCAGGAGCAGAAGTAGCCAATTAGCCTCCAGAATACAAAAGGGAGGGGGAGAAAAATGATGCAGTTACCTAGCAACCAGAAAGAGCAGAAACAGCTGTGTAGCAGGCCCAGGCTGGTACCCAGGCAGAGACAGGATAGCCAATTAGCACACTGTATTTAATGCTGATGTGGTTTCCTAGTAACAGGCTGTACAAGTCTGTCTGTTGCATTTTCTCCCTCCCTTCCTCACATTTTCCTCAATCATGCACAGTATTACTATTTGCCCTAATTACTGTTTCTCCACTGCTTCAAGCGGCCATTATTTTGTCCCCAGAGAAATTGGAAGAACTGAGAAAAAAATCTTCTGTAATGACAGTATTTAGTTTCAAATTCAGATTAGCTGTAAGCTTTGAGATACTAAACAACAACAACAAAGAATGAAAAAACAAAAAAGGCAGCAAATCACCTTCTGCCTAAATTTATCAATAGCCTATGGTACCTTTCCTACATGTAATATTTACATACAATGCAAAAAATATTTAATAATGCATACTGTCATTCTTCCATACACTATCTTTTTGAACAGGTTGAATCCTCTGTGTACTTGAATTTATTCATATTGATTTTCTGACACTCTCTCCTGAACAGTAGGAACATAAAATGTCTTATTACCTATATCAGAGAAAGAAGATGTATCTTTTGTTGCTCCTTTTAAAATACCAATACTAGTTTCAACAGGCTCACAACCAATTGAGAATTCAATATGAAGAACCATTATTTCCTTTCAACAGTAGGAGTTGAGAATGGGTGAAGAGTACTGTGGGCCCCCTAATAAGGGGATTTAAGCCATGTTTTAAGTTCATAATCAGGGCAATTAATTCCAATGATGTGACATTAAACCACATGAACACATGAAATGAAAACAGAAAACTTTTAAGCATAACCACTTCACAGCTATTCTAGAACATTCCCTGCTGAATCTTTCTGTTCTTGTATCAGAGTGAAGCTCTTCTTGGATCTTCATTCACTAGGGCAGATTATATAATTATAACATTTTTAGGGCAACCATTAGACTCCCAGAACCTCTCTCATTACACTGGCCTCAACATTAGAACAAGCTGTAGTCCTTCTTACAAAGTATCCCTGATCTGAAAATAGCCGGAGCTCCAGAGGAAGACATCAGACACCATAACACCCCTACCTGGGCAATCCTCTCCCATGAAGGAAAAGGACTTCCTCTCAGCTGCCTCCCAGCTTCCTTCCTGCAACAAAAGGATTGATGGCTGTTGCTGACTTCTGCATGACATGGTTGCAACTATTTTGTCCCAACAAACTTGGACATTAAAAAAATCTTACACTGGTTGCCTGAAAACATTATGCATAACCTTATTTTACTGTACCAAATTCCATAAATTACAATCAATTATTTAAAGGGAAGAGCATATATTTTGAAGGCAAATAACAACAAAATAAGCCAAAGTATATGATTCATAATGCCAGAATAGTTTATGAATTTAAAATTATAAATGCATCTTATTTATTTTGAAAACAAAAGAAAAGGGATCTAACCTAAATGCAGATAACTTTGAAGCAAAGAAAGGAAAAGATGCAAGGTCCAAAAATAAAGGGGCAGAGGAGGGGTCTACCAAGTAGGCCTGGTTTAGGACAAAGTTGGCCCTAAGTCTTATAAGGAATAGATGAGGTACCCAAGTCTTCTAACCCTAAAAATTCATGGGTTCCAGTTCTGGCTCAAGTCACCTAGCTAAAAACGCACAGATGATGAAGGAGAAAGTAAGGTGAACAGAAATATGAAAAGCTTATTCATGAAAATGGACCATGAAAAGCTTATTCTCACTGAAACACTCTTAAATAATTTAAATGGTTTGCCCTCCATTATTTAAGCCAGTCAGGTCTAACACTGGAGACCGAACATGTGGATGTTGCAGGAATGGGGAACAGCACCAGCACTGGTTAGTCATATAAAGAGTACAATTAAAAAACACTTACTTTTGATTACCTTGAATGTCTTGCTTCTACTAGCATTTAGCTTAATAACTGTTATGTCAATATATTACTTTTAAAAATGGTTGAAAAAATAGGTTATTCTTAGAAAATGGAGAAAATCCATTAGCAGGGGAGGGGGAAGGGTGGGTGTACAGGTGGGGATGGCTGCTCCAGCCTCCAAAACTTCCCTTGGTTGCTTTCAGATTCCTGAATTTCCATGAATAGTCTTCATAACTGAAGATTTAAAAACAATGTAAGATGTGACAGTGTTTAATTCTGGCTCATGGACGTATAACCCAACTATCAACTTTGTACTGCTACCAGATCCTTTCTGATGGGGAGGAAAGTAAAGAAGGCAGAGGACAGGCAGTAACTCAGTACAGAAAAGCATTAGGTGTAAGGTTTTTAGGTGATGCAGGAGAAGGGAAGGAACTGAGATTTGGGGGGACAGGTTTGGCGAGAGTCGTCTAGTTTATGCCTATTGGAAAGGGACAAAGAGAAACTGCTTGATTAGAAAGAGCCAGATTTTCTGCATTTGGTACCTGAGTAGCTTGGCAGAGTTCTGAGTCCTGAGACACACACTCCCGTAGCAGGTTGGATTGCAAAGATTCTGTTTGCTTATCAGAACCAACTTTCCAATATAAAGTTTGGTTCCTCATGATTCACTCTCAAGCTTTGAACTGTGATTTCTATAAAGTTCAAAGTGGGCATTTTTTAAATAAAGACTGAGGATTTTACAAATATTTTTTCATTTCTTCTTATATGTAACTAATATTTTTTAAAAAGAGAATTAATCCAAAATTAAAAAAAAATTATATATGATTTTCCTAAAGTCCTTCCCCCGACTCCTCTCCAATTTAACTAAAATTCTATTCCATAATTGTTTCAACTTCAGGAGACATAAGAAAATTATTGCCACCACCAATGAATTTCTATAATATCATATTAATCTGCAAACTTTACAAACCTCCTTTTAATTTCCCTAAAAGATGCTGATAAAATACATACAGAACAACCATGACCATCATGGTCATCAAAATTCTTATTACAACAGAAACAGATTCTGTACATTATCTATTTATTAAAGAGGATAATGTTTTTATTTTTATTTTATTTTAAAGATTTATTTATTTATTTATTTATTTATTTATACAATCACTGGGTACAGTCAGAAGCGCGGGAGGGTTAGAGAGTGAATTCTCTGGAGCAGAACAGGCAGAAGGACCGAATTACACTGCTGAGGGGAGCAGCCGGTGGCAGGAGAGGTCTGCGCCCGCCATGTGGGACCCTCCTCCGGTGGCCGGGGAGCAGCCGGGGATCGAACTGGCACTGCAAGAGGCCGCGGGCAGCTTCGCAACCCAGCGCTCAACCGCTGCGCCACCGGGGAGGCCCAAGGATAATGTTTTTAAAGCTCACACTTGGCCTCTCCAATACCATTCCTTCATCTACAGACTTCTTGTCATCCTTCTTTTTTCTGTCTAACAGAGTGGGCCCGACCTCTAGATCTTCGAATTTAAAAAAACTCTTATTACTTCCACTGCCTTTCAAGTAAAATTCCTCTTTCCTTCTTCCTACCCCCAATCCAGGCTATATCTTCCTTTGAGATTAAGCTGCAAATATAATAACTTCATGAAACCATATTTTCAGGCTTGTGCATCAAAAACCAAAGTCTCACAGATGGGGAAAGGAATAATAGGTGATCAACAAATATTGTTTGTGATGAAATACTATTTTTTATGCCTTGTCCTTTTCCCCCATTCTTATCTTAACATGTTTATTTTGTGACTACCAATTATCCATTAAAAGGATATCTAGAAGCAACTATAAACCAGAGACACAAGGGGCGAGGGAGAGGAAGGACTAGGGTCAAAATAAGGGGTGGAGGGTGCAATTGTATGGGGAATATAACCAAAATGAAAATGCATACATTGCGCAAAAATGATGTAAGAATTATATAAAATAAAATATTAATTAAAAAAGATATCTAGAATAGGCATCCCACAAAGTCTACATTTATTACCATATTATAATGTCAAAATAAATGTGCTTGCTGTGTGGATGAATTTAAACCATTCAACCCAATATATGTTTACCAAAATGTATCTTCATAAATGCTGAGTTAGCATGTTGCTAAAGTATCATGTGGTGAAGCTCTAAGATTTTCCTGAATCATAAAATTCCTCCATCAATTATTTTCCACCACCTCATTTTATACCCCTCCTTTCAAATGCTTTCTCTTAAGCTCCTGAATATGCTAAATCCAAACTACCAAACCCTCCTATTAAACTTTCTCCACCTCGTGAACTGAACAGTTAACCCTTATTCTAGTTTCCATCCCATAATCGGGATTTAATGAGTTTCTGCCTCAACACATGGATAAACTTCATTAGCAGCCATGTGTCTCAGCATATTAAAGACCCTTTAATGTCTTAAAATTGCCCCATTTCAGTTGCTATTGTATAAATTCAAAGAAATTTTATCTA